TAAAACAAGGCGTGTGGGGATGTGATGTAGAACACTGCTTGATAGACATCAAAAGGCAGTCGGAACATTCAGGGCTTTAGCTTTTTACGAGCAGTCTGGTTGTTCCGACTTTGTAACGAAAGTGACGGAATATTCGTGCGGGTGGTTTTTTTTCTTCACACAAATTTAGTCTTTTTAACAAGCCATTTTTTACAAAAAAAATTTATCATTCAAAAAGTTTTGTTGTCCTGAGCTTAATTTCGAAAAGCTATTTTACCTGTGATCAATTTTCGCAAAGTTATTGCAGTTTAAAGATTGCCATTTTGGCCAGTTTGAGAAAACTAATGCGCGATATATTTCGCGCTGTTAATGCGTACGCGGAGATTTGATCTGTTTTAGAAATTGTTCCAAATTGGTTGAAGGAAGCGTATAGGCCATAATTGATTTGTTACTAGGAGCGAATTTTATCACTTTGTACTTTATATGGCGCGTGGGGTGATAGTTTTCTCAAAAGATTTAAAATGAAAAAAAATTCTTTTTATTTTATTACCTTTAAGAAATTTTTTCGTGTTAATACTGCTCCATAGACCTTAAAAGGCAGTCGGAAAATTCAGGGCTTCGCCCTGATACGAGCGCAGTCTTGTTTCTTTTTTAATTCAGATGTCTGCTCGATGATGGATATTTATAAAGTCAATAGATAGCAATGAACGTGAAAACAGGATAGTGCTTTTAAATAACCCAGTGGTGGTCAATTAAAATTCAGTGATCGCTATTGTTAGCTTACATAAGTAATGTATTGTAGTGAATGGAAATTCAGTGTTCGTACCCCGTTCCACTTTCCGGTGCCACGGGCGGCCGAGTGGTGCTCGCCGGAACAACCGTCTATTCTGCGCCACTGGATACCACTTACACTATCTACTCAGCCCCCCCCCCTCCTCACACACAATCCCCATATTACAAGGTGGACTCCCCCAAGCAGATCAACTAACCCCTCCCTAAATAGATAACTTGAAAGTAAATATTGTTTTTATTTATGGATGAAATAAGTAATTATTAAATTTAGTGTTTTTGATCTTATCTAGAACTGAATCAATTAAATTACGGCAACTCTATAATTCAAGAGCGGTATATAGCCTTCGCTTAATAGAGGTGAAGGGTTTTCTCGACAGGTGGTGCGAGAAAAGGTTTTAAAAAAGCTGTCGATTTCTTTAAAAAGGGTAAGAAAAACTGTCGATTTCTTTAAGATCGACCAATTTCGAAAACTTCCGAAAACTCAAAAACATCAGATTTAGTCAACGTTTCAACGCCGCAAGGAATTAGTGCTAAATTGAGTCAAGAAAGCAATTATTGCAAAATTGAGCAAAGATATCAATTTTTGAGGAAAAATTTGAGCCATTTCTAGGTTTCGACCAAAAAACGCTCTTTTCGGCAATCACTTCGCATAAAGGTGTTGAAAAAAAAATGTCGACAAAAGCGCAGTTAGAAAAAGTTCGAGATAAATTAGCTCATAATGGGTGTCTTAAAAATGGACCTTTTTTCTCGGCCAAATCCTTACCTGCTTCGTTAGAAGTGTACATTCCGAATAAAACATCAGAAATGTTTATAAAAATACTATTTCTATGAAAGTATTTACCGTCAACATTTGTCAATCCC